ATCAATTAAAAATATAAGAACAGCAACTTTTACGGTAGGCAAGTTCTGATTTCAATTATTGCAACGTTTCGAAATATAGTATCTGGTCATCATCATGTAAGTTACGTTCAAAAAAGCAGTTGACTTTGGTTTATTATGAAAATTAACTTCCTTTTCAAAACCTATTTGTATGTCAGTTGTAGGTAGTTTAGACGGTATTATGCTAAAGGTTAACCTTCTAACCTTGTTTAAGCTCACCAAGAAATTCTGTTTTAAATTCAACAGCACATCTATTTTCAAATTGACGACGTCTGTGTGGATGAAACAAACACATTTTTAAAATTGAACTGTAAAAACAGGCTTTAAACACAGCCATCTTGAAACCCTAATATTGGTCGGAATATGTCGACGATATTTTCTGCAGCTTCAGCTCTAACGATGAACCTTATCAACGATATACAGTCCAACATTCATTTTACAACTGAAAATGAAGAAAATTTCTCCATAAACTGTTTAAACGTTCACGTCATAAAAAAAAACAATCAGGATTTGAAACTAAAATTCGTGGAAAGCAATAAATTCTGAAAAATACTATAATTGGAAATCCGTACACTCCATAGAATAAAAATTAGAAACCTTGAAGTGTTTTATGCAAATAACATTTAATATACACTCTGCAAATAATTTAGACTACGAACTACAAAGCACCTCAGAAATTATCATTGAAAAACAGCTACCCGAAAAAAGTTTTAAAAAATAATGCGTCAAAAATGTCAAACAAACAAATACAAATATTAAAGATAAAAACAACTTCAACTTTATCACCACTACAATCAGCGAAAATCTAACTGGATTATGGAAACGATTCACGAAGAAACAACATCGATAGAAATACAATAATCATTCAAAAGCTAGGTATTAAAATCAAGAATCCTACAAATAATAATCCTACGAAAACAAATGCATTTAATGTAAACACTTTTTATATCGGAGAATCTTGGATAGAAATGAACCTCGGGTTTAAGGAACATTGTAAAGGACCCTTAAATGTTTTTGAACATGTCACAGAAACAAAACATACTACCATTGAAAACAATGTCGAAATCATGCGACAAGAACCAAACGTAAAAACAAAATAGAAAAATAACTGAAGCTCTACAGATAGTCATTAAAGCCAAATATATATCCAGGAAACCCCCTTCCTTTATCTATATCAGTATTTTATGCATTTTACTAAAAAAGCTAATTTTAACGCTACTTACAAACTTATCCTCACCATCATGGGTCTGTAATGTTTTCTGGAATTCAGTTGTTATTTTGAATGCAATTGTTACCTGATGATGAACCGATACTATGAGTATAAACATTGTGATCATTAAAAGTTGCTGTTATAGTATTTTTGAATTAATTATTCAGTTCAGTAGGTTCCTCAATAAATATTACGTACTTTGAAACTTAAAACTCATGTAATGTATTACAACAAATTGGGCTTGTTTCTGTATTGATAGAATGTTGAAGAAACCTTCTTTTTACATTAAATTTGTCCCAAGTTGCTCTATTTGTATACACGTAAGAACATGCCTTATTAGTTTATTAGTTTCAGAATTTTCCTTCAAAGATAAACAAGGACTATTTGCGCATAACTGTACCTAATTTGGAACTGATAGACTATAAGGAAAGGTAGATAGACAACAGCACTCATTGCCAAACCTTGAGCAACTATTGTCTGACTGAATAGTGGATTATGACTGCCATTCTTATAATTCATCATGATCCAGAGTGCGGTGTTCATTTTTGTGGCAACGATACTCGAAACATGAATTTTAGATTCATAGTCAGAGCATACTAACTACTAGGCCACATCTTACTCATACAAAAATTACAGTTCGACTGAAATGATTGTTGTCTTAATAATAAAATGGCACCAGGGCATTCGATCAATGATAAGTCAACAAAAAAGGCGCTCCTCAGTGGCACAGCGGCATGTCTGCGGACTTATAACGCTAGAAATCGGGGTTTGATACCCGTGGTGGGCAGAGCACAGATAGCCCATTGTGTACCTAAATTACAAACAAAAAGGAACAGCTCAAATATGTGTTGTATTAGGTATAGGGCCTCGTATCTTCTTGTCGTAATGTAATAATTTAATTGATAAAAAAGGAACAACTAAAAACAATGATATTTCAACTAAGCTATTGCATATAAAACTAGGTTTGTATATTTAATTTCCTTTTTTTGTATGTGAAAAAATATTCCTTACGCTTTTACTTCTATGTCGAGGAATCGTTAATTAATAAGGTTATTTAATCCAATTAACAGTTAAAGTTTTGTTGCGTCAGCGAGTCACATGACACTGTGACGCAACGTTTCTAGAACTATCATGTACTTTGACGAATGTTCAAGTTCTTACTAGAAATAGGGTACGCTGGTATATAAAAGAAGGTAATGTAATGTGTGTGGAGATAGTGAGTAATTGAACTGCAGTCACACGGTATTGTTGAAGTTAACGTTCGTTCGTTACAGTGTTGTTTTAGCGCGAGTATTGAGATTAAGTGTATCGCAGAGTTATATTCGGAAAGAATAAACCAGTTTTATTAAGTAAAGACTTGTGTCGTTAAAGTTTCGTTGGAACAAAGTTACGGAAAGTTAATTAACACACGGAGACGTAACAGTTTATTCATTCTTATAGATTGAGTTAACACCTATGGCAATAAGAACTGAAGTAAACAGTTTACTAGAAATTTAAGACGTTGTAATTATATTGATCCATCTTTGAATTTGAGGTGAGGCTAAGGAGAAGTGATGTATTAATTGGCAAGTTTTAGGCATACAAAAGTAAAACATTTTAGTAAGAAAATCTGTGCTAATGATATATGAACATACGAAGAGATTTTCCATAGATAGAAAGTGTCACCATGCAAATATTTAAGCTGTGATCGTCAAATTAGCCAAGATGTTTGGTGCTAGATTATATTGTTTTGTAACTCTCTACTACTTGTAGATATAAATTATAAGATGCTGTAGACTAGTGGTACGTTAGTGTAAGCTGTATTTGGTGACAACTTAGCAAGCTTAATATTACCTTCAGTTTTGTTATTCCGCCAAATTTCGTCTCTCTCTCTCTCTATATATATATATTGTTACGTCTCCGTTCGTTAATTAACTTTCCGTAACTTCTTTCCGGCGAAACTTTAGCGACACAAGTCCTTACTTAATAAAACTGGTTTATTCTTTCCGAATACAACTCTACGATACACTTATTTTCAACAGTCGCTCTATAACAAACGCTATATCAACGAACGTCAACAATACTTCTGACTGCAGTTCAGTTACTCACTATCTACACATACATTATTCCCGTCACGTTGTCACCCTCTTTTATATACCAGTCTACCCTATATCTAGTAAATGCTAGAGCATTCGCCAAGGTACAGGATAGTTCTAGAAACGTGGCGTGACACTAGTCATGTGACTTCGCTGACGCAACAATATATATATATATCATAATTTTATTAACAAGGAATTACAAGCTCCCTTTCTTAGTTTTGTGCTTTATTTTTAATATGTTTGTTGAAACCTGATGAAATTTTAATACTATTCATATGCGCTCGATTTTCTCTTTTTATTATGTACACACGTTAGCAAAGATAACACGACATCTAGCACCACAGTTGAACAATCTAAAGGTGTGAAAAGACGATTTAAACGTCGCAATAAGTAACTTACAGAACTAAAAATAAAGTTTAAATTATCTCTTCAGTCTTCTGATACAATCTTCCAATCATTGGTGGTTTGGGGAGGCTGTAAAAACCAACAGATATAGGTAAATTTTAATTTCATTAATTATTTAAAACTTTTTTTAAGAACGCATAGTAAAGATAAATCAACGAAAATGTTACTGACAATGGGAAATGTGCTAACCACTAAAACCAGTAAATATTACATTGCATTTGTAAATTATACCGTTGTACAACATAAATAGTTTGTTCTAATACGAGTTCTACTAGTATTGGTATTTAATAATAGAGGTGGTAAGCATATCACTTATCAGTATTACTATTAGGCTTTTACTATTTAATCTTACATTGTATTTCATCTTATAATGTTAATAGTTTACACTCACTTATTTAACAAACCATTATGTATCGTGTAGCCCTATCTAATTCACACTTTATTATTTACACTAATAAATGGCGTAAGTTTCAGTAAGGATAAATTGTAATTTGTCACTGGAACATTTCAGAATACTTTTCTCTTGACAAGAGGTCCGGCATGGCCAGGTGGTTAGGGCGCTCGACTCGCAATCTGATGGTCATGGGTTCGATTCCCCATCACACTAAACATGCTCACCCTTTCAGCGGTGGGGCCTTATAAAGTGATGGTTAATCCCACTATTTGTTGGTAAAAGAGTAGCCCAAGAGTTGGCGGTAGGTGGTGATGACTAGCTGCCTTCCCTCTGGCCTTACACTGCTAAATTAGGGATGGCTAGCACAGACAGACCTCATGTATCTTTGCGCGAAATTCAAAAACAACCAATCAATCTTGACAAGAATGTGACTTCCTCTATTGTATTGTCAGTAGAAATATGCATAATATTGATAATTTATAAAATTGTAAATATATGGCACTCTTGAACAGATAGTCTATTTCATACATCCTTATTACTGTATTGGGATATTTTATTTTTTTTCTGTTTTTTTTTTTGTTGTTGTTCTTGTTATAAATTGCATGTTTTACATTGTATTTCTTTTGATCATGTCACATGTAACTGGGAAATCTAACATGGAATTTATGTAATTTCAACCTCAATCTCAAATTGTCTTTTTCACTGACATAGAATTCACCACAGTTTGGATGTTGCAATGAATATATTACATTTTATGAATTCCAGTTATAGAAATTATTAATGTAAAACAAAATATTTTTGTACATTGTTTGTGTAGTTTTAAGATAACCTAAGTTATATAAAACACAATTTTTTTTCTCACAACTAAAAATACTATCTTTAATTTTATTTTTATTTCTTGGGCTCTTTCAGTAATCTATATAAATTTTTAGGTTGTTGTTTTAAAAATGTTAATCTAAGATCCACAGGTTCCCTATATGAAGAGTAGCAGAAAGCTGTCAGAGCATTGGTAAAGTAAGAATACCTGTGTTCTAGCAAGCAGCTTTTAACAGTTGGGGGGCCAATAAAATCTAATTTTTGTGTTGAAGTGAAAGCAATTGCAACTGTGTAAAACTGTTCATGTAAATCTCACAATTTAAACTGGTTGTCAGTTTGGTAATCATTCTGTGCTCCTCTTCCAGATGACTGGTATCCTTATAATAAGGAGACCAAAACTCATTGTATTACTCCATGTTCTACTAGTCTTTCACAGTGTCAGGATAATATTCTTAATATTAAAATTAAAATGTCTGTAGTTATAGTTAGCACAGCCGCACTTTCCTGAATGCCTCATGCTTTTGTCAACAGTCACATGCAGTGTCATGAATTTTTCACAGAAGTACTATACATGCACCTGTAGGCCCTATCAATGTTCTTTACTTCAAATACATGACTTTATGCTTTGCATTGAAACAGAACTATCTAGAAATGTTTAAATCCTTGAATTTTGAACATAAATATCAATATATAAACATCCTCTTTCCATACATAGGTAATTTCAAAGTTTGAACCTAGCACATCACTTGTGATCACAGTTTACTAATATAAAATTAATATTCAAACTTTGGCATTACCATGAACTCTTATTAATTAACTAATGTTTTATTTCTTTAAACTTGTAAACTGTATTGAAAAGTCATTCTGTATTTAAGGTATGTTGTAAAATGTACAAAATTGCAGAGCAATAGTTTAAATGTATGCATGGAATCTTGCATGTGTAATATTGATGTATGCATTTTAATCAGGTGGATCGTTGGACAAATTCTATTGGATCAAGATCTGAGATACTTTCAGAAATGCCTGCTAATCGTAATGTGTTGATGTTTTGTGAGCTAAGAACTACTGCATGTAGGCATCTCATAAATTCAGTTATAGTTGCCTGGAAATGTGGGTGAGTGTTGGATGAATTTAATAACAATCCAAGTATAACTATTTATCAATAATTTTAAACAGAGAAGTATGTTGTACATGTTTTTCTTTCTTGAAGAAAAATTATGAATTTTTTAAAAAATAAGGACTTGAGGCTCATCCTCTTGGATTTTCCATGTGTTAGGCTAGCTTCTCAGAAGCTTACCTCTCATCATTAATCCTGAAAAAGAGCAAATCAGTAAAATAAGAGTAGGCCTCATGTGGTGGAAAACTAGATCATACACAAAGATTTATGCCTGTTTGTATATTCAGTGTATTGTTATATAGCTTGTCATATCACAGAATGACAGTAAGTGAAAATTTACTAACACATTTTGAATATGAAGTTCTTTATTATTTGATTATCTTGAGCAAAAGAAATTGATGATAAATTCTGTCAACAAAGGTTGAGGTGTTTACCCTTTATTGGAAGTGTTGTAATTATCAGAATCTGGCTGTTGAATTTTCTTTATCTCGTTCATCACTACCAGCTAAAACCAGTTACTGTTTTTTAATCTTATGAAGTTTCCAGTTTGTTTAAAAGAGAGCTACTCTTAATGTTTTATGGACATTCTTCAGTCATGACAACAATCTCTACCATTACCAGCTTGTCATTCAGTAACATTTTTTCACTTTTTACTTTGTGTGTAAACAGAATGGATTTTGTCTTTGTTTCAACTTTCATTTATTTCTTGAACAGGATTTTCTTTTGTCTGTAATACTGGTATTTTATTTCCAAAACAAATTATATGCTTCAACATTTTAAGCATTTTTAAAATATTTATTTCTGGTATCTTCTCATGTATAAGAACTTTAATTATACATTAATAGGTTAATCTTATAACTGTTACCACCATGTATTTCCTTGGACTTCTTAGTACCCAGATTTTAGTGAAGATTTTAAAAACTTCTACATGTATTCACCATGCATCATTATATGCTGATAAAATTTATAATAATTGTGTATAAAGAAGAGGGTTGGTTTTCTTACCATGTTTTTAAAAATTAGACACTTTCTGTGGTGACAGTCTATTCCCACTATAAACTATAAAGCTGTATATATTCTTATCAGGTTTATATGTAGGTTTCACCCTATGGATCCTTCTGCAGCACATTAACATCTTATAGGCTAGAATGGTAACATTTCCTATCACCTCTAATGTTAGCAGAGGAGATAAATCACTTTTTCATGTCATTATATCAAGGATCTTATCTGACCACTGCTAGCTGGTTCCATTAGAGAGCCATTTTCTGGGTAAGTGCTATATTATCATAGGTCAAGACATAGGAATTATTGGTGCTTAAACTGGAAGTTACTTCATCTGTAGCTCTTTGCAGAACCTATTACCTTCATTGTATTTTTGTTCCTACCCAGTTGGTTATTTTTTGTTTCCATATTTTCTGACCATTTCAACCTGCATCAGTGGAGACGAGCGACATGGGTAAAGTATGTGACACAGCAACAGTGTCCTTTTTTTTGCTAGTGTTTTCATACAGCTAACTTGTTCTATATCCATCTGGAATTTTAATTCATGGAATAATTATTAGGGTGGTAGGCTGGCCTGGGACCCATACCACATATTGACCTGATAAAAATACCAAGCTTTTAGTGAATTCTGAATTTTTGTTAACAACATAACTATAAGTATTTTACATCATTATTAAATAATTGTTTGAAGGAAGTTTTGTCTGGTTGGATGTTCTAATAAAAATTTCCTAATCGTTAAATGCATACTCATTGATTTTGGAAAATATATCATCTGGTCTTTGGCTCAAATCAGGTATGAATAAAAGTACTACATTATGTTCTCTTTTTTTTTAATTTTCATTTTAGAATTAATGTTTTAAATATCTCTCTTGTATGTTGCTTTCCAAATATCTGTTTGAATACTTAAGTAGTTTTATAGCCATAACTAACCAAAGAATTATATCTAGCCAAATAAATTGACGGAACTGGATTTTACTTGCATAGCAAAACTTTATAGATGGTTTGAATAAATGTATGAAGTGTTAAAAGTTGACTCTCTCTATTGGTAAAAGCATTAATGATATGCAGAAACAATTTTTTTTTATTGAGTGTGAATTGTAAAATTGTTAGCTGAATTTTAAATGTTTTCTGTTCAGTTAAAAAATTAGTTTTTGCTTTACAATGCTGTACTGTGTAAGTTCATAAGTTCATTGTTGAGAATTAAGGTATATATACATTTACAAAGTTTCATTACAAACATTTGTCTTTTTTTTTAACACGTTCTAGGTTGTGGGATGGATCAGCAGCGAAAGCAGCCAGTGAAGATCTATGGTAATGTTGGCTTGGCAGGTCGAATTGCCTCATTTCAGAGAAAAGTTGAAGGGCATAAAGAGACGCAAGATATTAATCCATTTTCAGAGTGGGAAGAAGTACCCCATAGAACTCGGTTGGACAAAGATGACTCAAATTGTAGGATTCCAGGAGAAGAATCCAAGATAGAGACTCAGGGCAGTAAAGCTGGTGAGATGATGATAAAATAAGTATGTTATATGAGATGGTTTAGGAACACCATAATGATGGAACTGTTTTTAGACTACTTTTGAGGTAATATAAGAGTTTCAACTTGATCTGTCAGAAGTGACAACCACCCATCTGCCTTAAAAGTTCTTCCTGGCATACGTATATCAAATAAAACAGTAGTTTTGAATCTAGTATAAAACTGAAAAAGAAAAAACAAAACTATTGTAGTTATTTATGTTTACGTAGTTTATTTATTATGCGTAAAATATGCAAGCTTATTACTCTTCTTCATAGTTAACCCTCTATTACACACTGTAATATAAAGGTAACAAGTATATCTTTGTTGCTTAATGCACATACAAATCCTTCAGTTCTGTAGCTGAATGCTCTTACTTCCTGGTAACACTCTAAATAAACCACAGAATTATTTTTGTTGGTTCCTCAATTGAATAGTGTTACTTCAAGGTAACATACTCACTTATAATTTACCAAAATATATTTCTTAAAAACATATTTTTTGTGCAATATATACCCATTTAAGTAAGAAATTCAAAGAAAACATATTTTTTG